TGTTAAATGTTCCATCAGTTATTCAAACTCTTGAAAATCATATGGGAAAACACCACTACGCAGGCAAGACGCATTTGTCTGAGTAGTTAGCCAACATACTTACTGGGATAATGGGCATGCCATTTTTAGTGCAGATCAAAATATTTAAAAACTACTCAATTTACAATATAAAAGATGTCAAAAACGTGCGACATTATGAAAATTGCGCTTGACTTTGTTGGTAAAACTCTAGCGTGTTTGTCAAGGTAGGCCCTTAACTCAAACCAATAATGGTTACTCTATTAACAGTGTTAAGTGTCCTCTCACAGGCCTGGCCATCGTAATACAGCCATTATTTTTTATTTGTTCTGGGTGCATGTTAAAAGTAGATGTCTGCGATTGAAGTAGGGGTGCTTTATCTTCTAGATGCGTGTCTACAAGAAAAACGTGCAGCTGTACTTAGTAAGTGCGGTAAAACGACAAAGTAAATATATATAGGGAGGAATTTGTTTATTTTAACCGATAAGAGAAGTGGCGTGATACATATGCGTATAGCCATCTAAATCAAGGAAACGCAATTCACATGCTCGGCTAATGTTGACTTAGTCTGCGGACGACCAAACCTGACTTTTGGGACTTCCAGTTAAGGTTTGTCGATGAAATTTCCAAGGCAAACCTGCATCTCTCACAGCAAATATGGTTTTCCGTCCGAGAAAGCTAATGATCTAGACGCCCGTGGTATCAGATTTATGCATCCAAAAGAAAGTTGTACAAATGCTGCTAACAGTATTGAGCAATGTAACACTGATTGTAATAAACTTGGAGTTTCTAAATTTACGGAAGGCAGAAGTTATGCAAGAAAAGGGTTTAAAGAATAACCAACCCGGCAGGCTCGTTCCCAAGGCAACAAATGTCGTTGCAGTAACAGCATCGGTTAATCCAACACTACAGCCAAAGGCTGAGGCCAGATCGCCGATAATCGCCGTGAGAAAACCGATAGCGATGATGCTAACGAAAAAGCACAACCAACCTCCAAGGTAATCTAAAACGAAAGAACAAAAAATACACAAGACCCTTTAAATAGAAGATTGTGATGGCTCAAAATAAAAATTAGGCTTGTTCTGTGAGTCAAAAGGCGGTGGTTTCGTGAATATTCATTGATTATTGATTATTATATAATTTAATCAATAATTATTTGTATAATTATGTATAACGTTATATTATCATTTACTATTATTTTCACGATTACAAGGTGTGACTGCCATGGCTGAGTTTGCGAAAAAACTCAAACTCAGGGGGCCAGCGATTCGGAAGGGTCGTTGTACAGTTCTCTAGCTGCAAGGAGTCTACTTAAAAATTATTCCAGCACTGAAAGAAGGAGCGCTTATTTTAAAAGACGTTTGGTGGGAAAGAAATATGAGATCACCAAGATGGAGACTGTCGCTACATTTACCCCAAAGATGACATTTTGAAAGTTGGATGCATTTCATCTACAATGGCGCACAGTGCATGCCCACACAAACCTCCCTACCGCCTTGTCGTCAGGCAAATAATGCCTTAAATTTCGGTTCACAATATTAGTGCGTCTAAATTCGGTCCCATAATATGTGACGAAATGCTTTGCCCTTCGCTTAGGAACAAAAACATCTTGAACTATATAAAAATATAATCAAAGGTTATGGAGAAAAACGTGCGAGCTGCAGTGGGTATACGTACTAACTGATTATAACATCGACTTGCGCTTCTTTATATATAGTTGCAACAATTATTTACTGAAAATATTTTTAAGTTGCAAATTTTGCAAATAAAGGACAACGAGAGTTCAACAAGTTTCACTGGTACGCAAGGTAGGTATTCGAGAAGCCGTGTTTATAAGGAATACCTGTGGGAAACCTTCCTTTTGACAATTGATTATTATTTGGCTATTGAAAGAAATGCGGACAAGGTCTTTGCATGCAATGTTTCAAATTTTGGACAAATATTTTCGAGCCATATGCATCGGGACTCCTGACAACTGTGTGGTCCTATAGGAGAGCTAACGCAAGATAGGCATGGAATACACTTCCCAATTACTTTGTCAAAATTCAAATGCAAATATTTTGACGATCATTTTAAAATACCTGCCTTAGAAAAGAATGAGCTGACCTTGCACAGTTAAGGTACTCATTCCGAGCTGGCTAGAGTTAACATGCAGAGATTTCTCGGTTAGAGTATAATATTATGTTTAAAAGTTTTTGGACTGAGAAAAATGATCTACAAGTGGAACCACTCGCTTTCTGATCACGATTTTGAGCTTTACTGGCAAAACAGCGGAAATAGAGAACCTATTAGCAAAACCTATTTTTCTTTGAGGCTTCTGCTAGGCAAACACCCAACGAAAACATTGGTGTAGCAGGTTATGGAAGGATAAAAACCGCAACATCATTTTTTTTCGACTGCAGCAGTAGCCATCCGGAGAGACGCAAGGGAAAACGATCGCCAAAAGAAATCAAAATTACTACAATAGCTCAAAGCAGAAATGTTTGAAACCCTACATTATACTCCAAGAACGGTTCCTAGGCAATTGAAGAAACTGACGGGGCACGCAAGCGTTCGAAGCCATCATGCGTGACTGCATCATGAACGCAAAGGGTTTAGTCGCCTGGCGGTAATCTTGTAGGATGTGTCTCGTGTAATGTCTAATTTCTCAGTCGACGAAAATCCTAAGCATGTATAAATAGACACAGGCAGTCCCTGTTAAACTCTCGATGACCAAGGTATTTGCGTTTGAATCTCCAGTCCTAAAAAGCTGAACATGAGCAAACTTAGTTGACGAATATAACATAACGGGTCCTTCTAGTCTCCCAATTCTTTTTCGCTACCTCTCCCCGACTTATTAATGGTTGCTATGCGACAGTGTTCGACGGCTCTATAATGTGCTCCAAAATGCGAGGGGACGAGCATGCTCCGTCACTCGATTACTGGTGTACACCCTTATAAAATGGCACCATAAAATGCATCAAAAACATGCATTTCTTGGTGGAAACTCGAACACGAGAGTACCTACGAAAGAACTAAACGATATTATAAAATATCGTCGCGCAATGAATTGCGTGTTTCCTACCACTATTAACAAGAATGAGTAATTAGATCGAAGGCAGGGTAAAACGGTCGACGGTCGTTGTTTGACAGCATGATAATTAATTACTAAGCAATCATTAAAATGGGTCCCGTGGGCGGATCGTTAAGGCGCAGGGGAAGACTTTATCAGCACAGGGTATAAGGGCAGTATGGGGACAGTGGCTCTAGTCAGTTTTTTAGGCAATTCCGACTTCCCCCATAAAATCGCTGTGGCCTCGTAACAGTGTAGGTAGGCCGTTTCAGCACGAAAGAGGACTCTAAACGTCCGCTTTCGACGGTACGTCCTTTCTGGGCGAACTTATTGGTACCTTAATTTCTGCCACAAATTACCAGTCAGGAATGTGCTTAATCGAACTAGCTGCCAGCAACTGTTGTTAGCAATGGACATTTCAAGGTGTGGCGACGCCTAAAGATTTTTATTTGTAGGCGTTTCCATTGGTAACCACGGAGAAGGTGACTCGTTGGAAATTTAAATTTGAAACAATGAAGGTATCAGGCGATGGTGGACAACAGTTTCTCTGGAAATCGTTATGAAATGTTACATAGGCTTCTGCAGAGAAGAACATTATAGAACATGACATCACAGCATAATAGAGGAGACGGGTAAGGATGCCTTGTACGGCCGCCTAAACAAGACAGTAGAATAGGTGTGATCCTGCACCAAATTGCAGGAAAAGTAACTTTAACATTAAGGTGAGGATCAGGGTTAAAGTTAGGATTAGGTTTAAGGTTGAAGATAAGGTTACATTTGGGATGGGGATCAGAACTATATTAAGGGCAAAGGTTTGTGTTCGGGTTAGCTGTGAGGTTTAAGTTATGTTCAGGACCAGCGTTGAGTTTAAGGTTACGAATTCGTTTTATGTTATGATTTAGACACGGGATTATTTACCCTTCCTGGAGTTTAGCGCAAAACTACCTAGTTCAAGTAGGTGGGGCGGCCATATTCCCGTGTCCCGTTTAAGTGACAATATAATTCTGCTTAATCAAGAGTTACCCACCTAGTGATTTAAAAGGCAAGCGCACGTTGTGCAACTACATGCTTTTCATGTTACGTTCGTTAAAAGTGCAAACAAAAGTCCTAGGTGATAGTTGAATTTACATTGGGAGTTTAATTTTCCAGCTTTATTTAAAAAATTATAAGTTGATATATCGACGTCGACATAAAAAGCGTGATATGCAAATCAGTTTCAGAATAAAGGATAAAAATACGGAAAATGAGGGCGGAGCAAAGGCCCGTAGAATTATCGTCTAAACCATTTTAATGTCTGCCTCCTTAAAAATAACCGAATTCCAAATAGCCCGAGACTGACCCTGAAACGCCAATATCAGAGACAGAGAAACCGAAGTGTAGGCTTAGCATGAAGTTTGGCCTTAGGCAGATCACAATCCGAATTCGGTGGCAAGAACACTTATATAGTAAGGGTAGGAATAGTTTTGTGGCACGCATGTAAAATGATCACGTCAATGTCCATTAGAAAGGAGAAAATTCGACGACAGTCAGAATTAGAATACAAGGAAATACACCACACGAGAAGTGAGACGAATGAATTAAAACAATAGACAGATGGGATTCCAAGGAGCAAAACAAACCAAAGTTCATTTAATTGAGGATAAAAGTTAAAGCGAAATCACGAACACCTATTTAAGCTTCTGAATGTGGCTAAATCAGAATGTGCCAACCGTTAATCAGGCTGCACGCCCATAAAAATGCCACATACGAAGCTTGTGTGTCTAGACACAGGCTCAGGCAAGCCAGCCACACGCGCCCAATCAGATGGCTGACCGGTTCGGGCGGCCGACTGCTTCCTAGGGGAAGGGGGGAGAAGAGCGTGAGGTTGATTGCGGGAAATTAATCCGCGCGGCTTAATCCGTGGCTTGGAAGACTGCTAAGTGATCGAAAACTTGGTTCTCTAAGAACAGAGGATCGAACTTAAATGACTTCTGCCTACGGTAGCCTCTATGGCGTTGCCTCTTGGCTGGGATTAGAACCGAAAAATTCATGTTTCTTTGAAAGCCTGGTCCAACTTGTGCTGTTCAGGTGTGCTGGCGTGTGGCACGCGAACACGGTTTAATGAACTTCGTCAGCCACTGCGCCCGATTCCGCTCGCAGTCTTTTGACTCTTTCTTGATATTGCGCTCAGGTGTGTGTGGGAGGATAGACTAAGGTAGTTTTTACGCACTATCGGACTATCACTATTAACAACTTCACGCTCAGGCCGGTCCCTGAGCCGACCATGTGACATAGCACATGGTGAACATCATCACTAGCGATGGTCATATGGTTGTGCCTAAGCAACAGGAAGGATTTCTAAGCCTTGTTTCCAATTATGTGAGTCCCTGTAAATGGGCGCACCTCAACAAGGCTAAAACGTAGTCACAGCGTGGTATTTCCAATTAGTCGTGCATGCTAATAAAATAGTGACCAACTACAGTCGATTAAAATTTGTCGATTGAATCACTTCTGTTAGTTGCAGCATTTATCGTTGTAAGGTGGCAGATACTTTCGTAAATGTTCAAATGCCCGAGACGATAGATGATCCTGG